AACCACCCCCCCCCCCGCCCGCCCCACCCCCAGCCGCAGCCGCAGCCGCAGCCGCAGTCTACACTTCCAGCTCCCCAGCCCACTGGGTTTGCTTCGTCCTCTCCAGTCCAGTCTTCTACTCCTGCGCCGCCTCCGGTGAAGCCTCAGCCAACCGGTTTCACCGAAATGGCTGCTTCATTTCATACTGGAGGAACCGCGAAGCCTCAGGGCCGACGGGCGGAGAAAACGAACAAGATTCCTAATATTAGACTTTCGTTTATCACGGCCCAGGACCAGTCCAAGTTTGAGACTTTGTTCAAGTCCGCTGTCGGCGACAGCTCGACTACCATGTCCGGCGACAAGGCCAGAGATCTCTTGCTGAGATCTAGGTTGGATGGAGATACCCTTTCTCATATCTGGTAGGCACCTTCATGGGACTGCAGAACGCCAGGTCTATGTTTTGTTTGCACGCTGCTAACGGATACATTGCGTAGGACTCTGGCGGACACCACTCGTGCTGGTCAGCTGTACTTCCCAGAGTTTGCTCTTGCTATGTACTTGTGCAATCTGAAGCTGACAGGCAAGTCTTTACCGGCATCGCTCCCGGATAACATCAAGAACGAGGTTTCTAGCATGGTTGATATTATCGGCTTTAGCGTAGTGGATGATGCTCCAGCATCTTCATCGGCTACCAACGCTCCCAGTTTCCAAACCGACGCTACGACACACCCAGCCATTCAACAGCCGCAACCGCAGCCGTCCAATTCTCAGCTCCTTCAGTCTCAGATGACCGGTTTTCCTGGCCAGCAAACTGGTTTTGGCAGCCAACCTCAGGGTCTTCAGACTCAACAGACTGGATTTCCCGGCATGCAAAACCCTCAGCCGACGGGATACCAAGGACCACGACCTCCCATGCCTCCAATGCCTACTGGTTTTGGTCAAGGTCCCAACGACGGTAACATGGCAGTGCCTCTGAATGCCCAACCAACTGGCCGACCCGGACAATGGGGCTTGGTGAATGCGCCCGCGTCGGGGCTGCCAAATATTGACGCCCTGCAGGCCCGAATGATGCCGCAACAAGGTCGTGAAGCAGGTAGCTACACTACTCAAGGACTTCAAGGTAATGCCGTCATCCCGTGGGCAATCACCAAGGAGGAGAAGACACGGTATGATGCCCTATTTAGGGCCTGGGATGGTTTGGGCAAGGGATACATTGGCGGTGCTCAAGCCATTGAAATCTTTGGTCAAAGTGGTCTTGAGAAGTCTGATTTGGAGAGGATCTGGACCCTGTCCGACAATGGGAATAAGGGCCGTCTGGACCTCGATGAGTTCGCTGTTGCCATGCATTTGATCTACAGAAAGCTCAATGGTTACCCATTGCCCAATAACCTTCCCCCAGAGCTTGTCCCACCGTCAACACGTAATTTCAGCCAGTCAATCGGTACTCTCAAGTCCATGTTAAACCAAGAATCAGACTTTCGAAAGAACTCTGGTGCAGCTCTTCTACCCCAAAAAACGGGTGTGAGTTATATGAAGAACCGTTCTTTCAGGGGCGCTAGTGTTGGGGTTCAGGGAGGTCGTAAAGATGCTACAGTCTTTCGAAACGATGACGAAGATTTTGGTTATCGGTCTAGTGCTCGGAGAAGACTTGGAAATTCGTCTCCTCGTTCTGAGTCACCCGCATCTGTCGCATCAAGCGACGATCTTTCACTCGATCAATTAAGGAAGAAGATCAAGGAGAAGCAGGTTCTCCTGGATGCTATGGACTTTGCCGATGAGAGGAACAACGAAGAGGACGACATCCTGGATCGACGGGACCGAAGGGAGTCTGAAGAACTCTATAGACGTATCAGACGTATTCAGGGTGACATTGATGCTCATCCTGATGCAGCCCTGGCTACTGGGGATTCAGATGCAGAGAGACGCGCCCTGAAACGCCAGCTCCAGAATCTCACTGACAAGGTTCCTGAACTTGCATCTCAGGTACGAAGGACTGAGAAAGCTATCATGGAAGCTCGGCTTGAACTCTTCCGGTTGAAGGACGCCAAGGCGCACCCCAACAGCGGTCCACAAATTGTCGGAACGGGTCCAGGAGGAACTGTGACTGAAAGCGATCGCCTGAAGGCTAGGGCAAAGGCTATGATGCAACAAAGAACAGCTGCTTTGACGGGCAAGAAAATTGACATTGGCACCGAGGACACTGACGCCCCGAAGCGACTTGAGGAGGAGACCATTAAAGTCAAGACGGAGAAGGAGAGCAACGAGAGTATGGTCCGCGATGTTGAAGAGAGCGTTCGCGATTTTGCACGCGGTATTGAGGACAGCCTTAAGGAAGGCGGCAAGGATAACTCTAGCGAACATGAGAAGCGACGATGGGAAGATGCTCTTGGAGTTGAAGACGAGGTCCGCGACTTTATCTTTGACTTGCAGCGTGAAAGTCGGGCTGCTCGTTTGCGTAGTCAAGACAAAGGCCCTGCTCGAGCGCCGCCAGCTGTCGAGCAATCTCGGCCAGAGAGAGTTGCCAGTCCGCGCGTGGAGAGTCCTGTTTCCACTTCTCGCACTGCCACTCCTCCTGCCGCTGGCGGCTCATACTCTTCCTACAAGACTCCTGAGGAGCGCGCAGCGTACATTAAACAGCAGGCGGAGCAGCGAATGGCTGAACGTTTAGCTGCACTGGGGATCAAGGCTCCAGTGAAATCAGGCGAGACTGCGGCTCAGCGGGCCGAGCGCGAACGGGCCGAACGAGCTGCCAAACTGAAGCAAGCAGAAGAGGAGGATGCCCGCAGAGAGGCTGAGCGGCAAGCCCGTCTTGCTGATGAACAAGGTGTGCCTCCCCCTGTTCCAGCCTCAGAGACACCTAAGGCGACGGCTAGAGCTCCTCCTCCCCCCCCGACAAGAAAAGCCGCTAGAATGGATACTTCCGAAGAGGACGCAGCAGGATTGGCAGAAGAGGAGCGGGCTGCCAAAGCTGCTGATGGAGCAAGAATCAATAAGGAACGTGAGGAGCAACAGAGAGAGACCAGAGAGATGGAGTACGTTCAAATCACTGATTCTACGTCACAAAGTATAGCACTAACGGCTGATTAGGGAAAGTGTTAAAGAAGAAGAAGATGAGTTCGCTAAGGAACAGGAGGAAGCCGCGGCTCGTTTGAAGGCCCTTGAGGAGCAAGTGAGGCAGGGCAAGTTGCGAAAGGAGGAAGAGAAGAAACGCAAGAAGGCCGCTCTGGCGGAAGCCAAGGAAAAGGAGGCCAAAATGGCTGCGAGACGCGCAGAGATCGAAGCAGCTAAGCAGCGTGAGCTCGAGCTTCAACGACAACTTGAGGCTCTAGACGATGACGACAGCTCCTCGGACGACGACGAAGGCCCTCAACAAATTACACCCCAGGAGTCTACTCCAAGTGGCAGTCAGATTGTTCATCAGGAGACGGAGAAGTGGCACAGCCCTCCTCAAGCTGTCCTGCCCACAGCTCCTCCTGTGCCAACGGTTGTTACATCCCCTCCAGCTGATATCGAGAGCAAGAATCCCTACGACAGCGTAATTTCACAGCCAGCAGTGTCATCGTCCATTAGTCAAGCGCACGATTATACGCCTGCTCCTCCATTACCTCGTCCAGGGGCATCTACTAACCCTTTCAATCGTATGGGCCAGCCTCCTGCTGCTGCCCCCGGGCCAGTATCCCGGAAGCGGGCCGACTCGGACGATTGGGGATCTGATCAAGAGGCGGATGAAGACTCGGATGACGACCGGCCAGGAGGTGGTAATGCCGCCCAGCTGGCATCCATCCTCTTCGGCACCATGGGCCCTCCACGACCACTGTCTGCTGCTGGACGAGATTCTACGCCAGCCAGTCCGGCGCCTGTAAATGACACTCCTGTTGCGTCGCCGCCGCCTCCTCCACCAGCTCCTCCAATGCCGGAGAACAGTGGCCCTGCAAGTCCTCCTCCGCCACCACCTATGCCCAGTTCCGACGCTCCCTCGGCGCCGCCGCCGCCGCCGCCAATGCCACCAACAGGAACGGCGCCTCCACCTCCCCCGATGCCCGGTGCGGGAGCTCCTCCGCCGCCTGGTGATGCTCCGGCTGCCCCTCCTTCAGGTGGCCGTCCAGCCGGTTTCCTGAGCGAAATCCAAATGGGCAAATCCCTCAAGAAGACCCAAACTAATGATAAGAGTGCGTCGGCGGTAGCAGGTCGTGTTCTGGATTGAATTGAAATGCGACGCAACAGAGGGCGGTCGACTGAAGTGTCGTCTACAGTGCGGAGCCGCTGTGGACAGCCAGCTCATTGTAACTCGTGTGAGAGAGCCGCTGAAGAAGTAACTGGCCGTTGTACTCTCAGAAGGATTCCCACCAACGCTTGTTAATATATTTCTCCTAGGAAACTGCTCTTTCTCTCTTACAGTCTCTACTCTACGTGCCCGTGTGACATGCTGATTTGACCATGACAAGCATGATACGTACTACATCAACTCGGCTCTTTGCCCTGTGGCAAAACCCGAATGCGCCCCTCTGTCTCTCTGATATGAGATCAACTGATCCGATCAAATCTGGGGGCAGATGGTCTTATCAATGATCACAAATCAGTAAGTGTGGCACGCAAATTTAAGAGGCATGTTTGTTGCCTGCTGGGCCCTCTGATTTTACTGTTGTGGAAAAAAGGTGAGACGAGCTGTACGGATTACATGCCGACTGAAAAACGTTTTGAGTAAAGCGAGATGGAACAAGGGTGGGCACTATTGAGCGCCTCTCGCTTAAGTGAGCACAGTACGACGTCGTGTGAGACAGCATGGTTCACGTTGGCTTGAAGCAATTACCAACGGGTGCGTAGAACACTATCCACTAATATACTCTTGCCTCCCCATGAGTATGCCGGATCCGGTAAACAGTCGTGTCTGGCTGGGCAATGATGTAAAGTGAGGGGAGGGGGAAGGATCTTGGAGCGATCCGAGGACATGCAGGTACAGATGAGCGGTGGAGTTTGTCGTGGGGAACTAGAAGAAAAAGAAGACGTCTGAAATTTTGTTTTTTTTTTAAAAAAAAATAGCGCGCTCTCAACAAGAAAAACGCGGGAAAATAAAAAAATTTCAAATAAACATGAAGTGAAGACAAAGGACCGCGGAAATTGTTCTTGGTCTGTGTTCGCTGTGCTGGAGGGGATTAATTTCATGCATCAATGGACCGGCGGTGCTTTAGTTCATATGCTGATGAATCGCGAAAGAAGGCTAGCTATATTGTTATGCAGATTGGATGAACGGGCTTTTCATGCACAACTGCACAAACCCGGCAGGTTGGGGCTTGTCATGGGCATTTTTGGAAACGCTTCTCCTTGTCTGCATGGCTGTGGAAACATGCTCCCTGGGCCATATGGGGTGCATGGCCCATCTCTGCCAGCCCTAAAAAGACCAGGGCAGGAAAAGGAAGGGAATTATGTTGGATTTTGCATGGCGCACGAGATGGCCTTTGAGGTTGTTCTGCTATTATTGGGCGGGGCGGCAGGGATCTGGGGTTTTCAGGTTGGCTGTAGTGGGCTCGTTTCGACGGGCTGCTTCGGGGGCTTGAAGGGCTGAAAAACGAGGATTTTCTAAAGGATCGAGATTTCTCTTCCAGATTGTGGTGGAGGACACTGGGATGAGGGATTGAAGCCGTCGAAGGTTGTGTCCTCGTCTGGCAGGAGCATCATGCCGCTTGTTTCATTCCTCGACTCTTCTTCTTGAATCATCTCGGCATTCGGGAATAACTATCGCCTTTGCAAACGTACATGCATGAAGGCATTTTTGGTCGTGATTTGGTCCCCTGTCAACCTGCTAGGCCAGCCGCTTGGGCCGGATCTCTGGAATGAGTGGCCTGCTGGGTCAAAGCCGCATCACGAGACGGCCAAACTTGGGCCTTGGGCGCTCCTTGTCTCCTCGTTGCGAGGGTCAAGATTGCTTGCTGCCTTCCGGGAGAGTGGAAATACGAGGCGGGAAGTAAATCGATCGTGTCGTGTTCCTTCCCGGGCCGCCTGGAACGTAGTTTTTCTTTGGCCCGGGTGCAGGCCAGAAGACCTGTCATAAAAGTGTAATTTGGATGCCGACTCTTCGGCAGAGGGAGGTGCAGCCTGCAACAGATGCGGACAAGACGAATGCTTCGTTGTCATCATCATCATCATCGTCGTCGTCATCGTCGCCGTCGTTCGACTTGCAATGTTGGGGATGGAGGGCTGGCGATGTGGTCGGAGGAAGGACGTGATTGGCTGGCTACGCGCGTACATGTAAACAAAGGACGCGTCTGGGGAGACGCGTCCGTTTTTTCGAGCCAGCTTCCCCTCCTTTTTGGCGGCCGACTTCAGGCGAGCGGCCGCCACAACGCCTGGTTTGAACATCACGACCAGCCTGCGACCTGAATGCTGGTGAACGGCGCCGTCCCCTCCCTTCCGCGAATATCCGGACGACTGCCAGCCAGTAAGTCATCGGCGACCCCTCCCATCCCTAACATTACGGAGGCTCGGAACATAATACATGGTCTCTTTTCAATTACCTTCAGGCCCGTCATGTGCCAAGCTGAGCTGGGTCTCCTTCTCCCTTGGGACGATTGTTACAACTGCCAAGCTCACAAATGATGATGGAAAATTACTGAGAATTACTCAACTCTTTCTCCACTTGGATATGAAATTTGTAATGTGATGAATGGGATGTCAGACAAGTGTCTTGAATGTACGGAGTACTACTCCGTACTCGATAGAAAGATGAAAATAATCGAAAGGGAAACGGGCGGGGACCTGGCCAAGAACATTGTGGGCAATGGTCTCCTCTCTCAAGCCACCCATCGTCATATACTCTTGTAATGAGAGTGCGGACACGCCTATCTACGTTTCAATAAGACCTTGGCTGGCCGTGGCAGATGTGTGATAACGCCGTCCTGTTGTAGGTACAGTCGATATCCGCCTCTATGCAGCGAACTGCTGGTGATGTGAGGACTGTGCCTCTCGTATTACCCTTTGTTGGCCCTTGGTTGTCTATAGTAATTAATTATATTGGGTGGGAAGTTCATTGTCTTCGGTCCTGAATGTCAATCCTTCATCAACGCCATGTTATCTTCAGGATGGTGAGTTGGACGTCCATCGGTAAAGTAGCATCGCATCGAGCATCTAGCGGCCAGCATCCAGCGTCCAGCATCCACTCGATGAGGCGTCGCGCCATCATGCTCACACTCCATGCGCGTCGTCCGTACCAAAGGACGTCGTCGTGCTTATGTCCTCTGGAGCAGCGGATGGATGCATGAACACAATAGTTGTGGTAACAAACTCGAGCTGCGCCATAGGCCCGTCATCGCCATCATCGGCCCATCTCGTTCATTCCGAAACCCCGCTCGAGGCCCCTCCTCCCCCCAAGCAAGCCACGATGATTGAGAGCCCGAGTGCGCGCGTCTGGAACGTGGAACCCGCCCAGCATGAACTTATATCCCGGCAAAGAGAGTGTGTGTCACGGATGGTCGACTAGAGACATTTGGGCACAACTTGGCCCTCGCAGCGCCAAACGTGTGTCTCTGGTTCGGCGCCTGGCGAAAGTGGTGAATCTTGTGAGCCTCAAGTCGACTCCATCCACCTCCATCGACGCTCGGCGAGACGCATACCCCTGATCTTCGTGTCAGCCCAAAGCGCATCTCAGCCAATGGCTCGCCCCCAGCGCTCCACCATTGACCCCACCCGGGTCGAACCTGGCCAAACTCGGCCTGCTCCAAGGTCGATGTCAAGCACCAAGGTCTAACTAACGTAGTCAGGACCGCTGACTTGGCTGCCCTTGGATGGATCAGATCATGGGCCAAGGCAAATCATCAATCTTGAGCCTCCCGCACTGCCATGCACTTCAATCTTGAGCATCCATGGCGCATCCATGAGCACTTGAGGCATCCATACTTGCAGGCTAGTACCAGGTGCTCCGCCCTAGTGCACAAGTACCGTGGCTCGTCTTGCTCTATGCCAGGTACTTGGTACTTTACATATGTACTCCTACCGCCCAGACTCCTACCACTCTTATCACCCGCTCACTCTAGCTGTCTTGTAACCCATTGCCTTGTGCCTTTTTTTACCTTTTACGGCCTCCCCATCCCTTCCCTTCCTTCCGTCTAATCCTTTCGTTTCTTCCTTCCCTCTCTTGCTGCCCATTTTTTCCAGCTTCACCCTTGACCACCCTCGACGCAAAAAGTCACGGGTTTCTACCTTTTTTTTTTTGCTGCTTTTTCTCCCTTTTTGCTTGCCTTAGCCGGAGAAGAAGACAGGTTCGGTCTCCAGTCCTGGGCGCTTCTACTATATCAAATTACGACGCGTCAAAATCCACCGCCATTTCGCCTCACCCGCCATACATCACTCGGCAGTCATACCCAAAGACCATCGTTCAAGACCAGCGTCCGCGCCCTGCATTCACGACCCACAGTCAATTTAAGAGTACAGCTTCATTCGGGTACGTGGCATCTGTTTTCATCTGCGCCTCTGTTACTATGTTACTTTTTGACTCGCCGTCTGTTTTATCAAGCGTCTGGCCGCTGGGTACCAAACGCAATAAGTCGCCCCCTCGGCGTCAGCTGTGAACGCGCACCCAGGAACATTTTGCCTCCTGGATTTGGCTTCACTAACGACCTGGACACAGACCTGTATCCCTCACTCGCGCATTTTGCTCCTAAACACGCGTTCAAAGCTCTTTGCAGCTCCGTTCGGCCACAATGGCCAGAGCTACGCCATTCTCCGGCCCCAATGAGCCGCTACACATATTTCAAGACGATGTATTCGATCGAAGCGCTCCCATGACGAGCCATGCACCCATGCCTTCAGTCACGAAGCCTGCTCGCCGCCCCTTGAGCGGTTCGAATTCCAACGTTATTCTCAACCCTCCAACAACCAACGGAATGAGCCTGTCACCGCACAAGATGAGATCGTCGTCACCCCGATCGCCATTGAAAGCTTCGTCACAAGGCAACAAGCTGCACATGGTGTCAATGGCACCTCCCGTGGGCAGAGCGCCTACGACAGATTCACTGCAGAAGAGGCCTCACTTGTCCAAATTCAAGACAGGCCCCCAGCGACCACACATCGACATGCTTAGCTTCGGAAAGGAGAACATCCACCCGCAGATTTTCCCTGCTCCGCCAACAATCAACTTGTCCGTCGAAAACTATTTCCAGAAGCCCCATGGCAAGCGAGGATTAATGGATGCTCCTCAAATCAAGGATTCGAGACCGGCCAAGAAGACCAAGACGGAGGAACCTCTTCCTGCCCACGATTCATTTCCTCCCATCACCGACGACGGAACAAAACCACAGCACAGTTATGCTCAGCTCATCGGCATGGCTATTCTCCGATCTCCCATGCGCCGCCTGACTTTGGCACAGATCTACAAGTGGATCAGCGATAACTATTCCTTCTACAACCCCAACGATGCTGGATGGCAGAACAGTATCCGACACAACCTGAGTCTGCACAAAAACTTCATCAAGATAGAGCGACCAAAGGACGATCCTGGCAAGGGCAACTACTGGGGCATTGAGCCTGGCACTGAATTTCAGTTCCTCAAAGAGAAACCCACCCGGAAGTCGGCACCTACAGCAGAAAATCTCCCAGTCATGTCCACACGTCTCGAACCATCAGGGCCAGCCACAGCTTCCTTCCAAGAACCGACGCTTCCTCCGCCAGTTCCCGTGAAACACTCGACACTCCCGCCCCTGCCAACCTCGCAGGCTACGCAGTCCATGCAACCGGAGCTTTCGTCCGATGCCACGATCCCAATCTCAGACAACATGTGCCCAGAAGATGCTGGAGACAAGACGGCTGACAATGATCTGCCTCTTGAGTCGTCCCTCTATTCCCCGTTACCTGCCAACATGCACTCTTCTCCTCCGGTGTCAAGGCACGCCGAGACACGAAGTGGCACTCCACCTCCCATGTCTCGAAACCCAGCGTCCTCGATATCTCGATCTCATAAACGGAAGTTTGCATCAATGGACGACAGTGGTTACATCTCGTCGTTGGAATCTTCCGTAATGCGGCCAAATCAAAAGGCCCTGCTCCTTACTTCTGAGGCTGATCGACCTCGCCTTACGCGTGGTCGTGCTGAGGAGGAAATTGCTCGTATTCGAAACTCATCTCCCTTGAGCCCAACCAAGTCTCGCTCCCTGTCTCTCTATGGTCCCGTTTCGTCCTCACCTTTGCGGCAGTCAAACGAACACCATCAGACGCTGCCGCCATTGACACCAGTCGTGACAATGAAACCTCCTGTCCGACCACCCCCATCAGTCTCACCAAACACAAACTTGCGCATTCACCGTGATAAGGTCCGGCATATGTTGCAATCACCACTGCGACGTGTGACTGGTATTGGAGAGGAAAGCATTCCATGGAGTCCCGCGTTCAACCTTGATGACTCTGTGTATGCCTTTGATGACATGGGGTTGCCTTCAACTGAATTCGACATTTTCCAAGACTTTGCATCCATGGATGACCATCTCTTCCCCGGGATCGGCTCAGTAGATGCTGGTTCGCCCGTCAAGCGTTCAGCCAAGCGAGCTCGATTAGACAGATCTGTCTCCACGTCGGCACTAGGTGAAATATCAAACTCGGCTGCGAGGAAACCGGTCACCTCTGCCCCGTTGCTCAAGGTCTCTGAGCATTCTCCATCGCGTTTCCTGGAGACACCCAGCAAAGCATTTGAGGGCATGGGCTCCCCGTCCAAACTTTTCCAGCAATCGCCGTCACGGCTGGCTTCTCCAAGCAAGTTCTCTGCAATGTTAGAGCTTTCAGTCGACAATGATTGGCCGACGCTGGGCATTGATCCGAGTGATTTCGGCTCTCACAGCAACAACGGAAACACAGACTTTACTGGCCTAGATATCTTGCAAGGATTCGAGAAGATTGGGTCTGGATCACAGTCTTCAAGACCACAGCAACAACAAAAGGGTAGTAAGCCATCGCTTAGTCGGAGCTATTCTACCGCCTTCTAAGTTGATATTGAAGAGCAAAATACTACATACGTCCGAAGATCATTTTTATGACATTAATGAACTGATGAAAGGAAAGAGGTTGTACTCTGATTTGCCACGGTCTGTTCTGATGCCATGAGCGAACCTAAAAGGCAAGAAGTCTCAGACAACAATGAATATTAGATTAGTGGATGTTGGTCGGGAACCTATTCTCGAGAGGAGCTTCGCAGCTAAATTGTCACGGTAATGATGCACATAAGGTATGCCCATGCTAGGACCGGATTGGGAGTTTCTTTTTATTATTTTTTCCCTTTCCCCTTTTTTTCTTTTTTTTTTTTGGTACTGGATTAGCCACAAATACCATCAGGTGTTTTTGCCTTTTTTCTTCAACATTGTCTTTTCGGCGGTTTGGTCGTTTGGTAGCTGGCGATTGTCACCTTATGGCGCGGCTTTCTTGCTTTTACATGTATTTGGATGATGGGAGTCAGGAATAGCAAACTAGAAAGGGTACGGCTTGGACGAAATGTTGTATGCTTGGATCGGTATTAATGTGTTGTCGTTGCAAAACATTTCGGAACTGTTAGGAAAAGATATGATATATTTACGTTACCAAACCCAACCAGCGTTGCCACTGAGTGACAAGCAATGTAGAGAGAGACTGCACCAACAGAAGAAGTGCAACGGCGAAGGAGCGACATGCGCAGGAGTGACAGAGCGGCAGGATTGTTATTGGTTTCGTGTGAACTATGGGGGTATCTATTTCAAGCAACATGCGCCATTCCATCCAGCAACGCCAAATTTGGATCCAAAAGCATGGCATAATATGTACAGACGGCCCTGGCAGGTCAGGTAATCAGGAAGCAGATAATCGTTTGCTCAGCAAGATGGTGTATGTTGGATTGTTTCTCCGTGCTCATTTGCGGTCCTTGGGAAGAGAGGCTAGTAGATCCTCATGCGGGAGGCCCAACCGGTTTCCTTTTGATCAATGTTAATCTTGAACGGGAACGGATTGCCACCCTGAGTGGTGATGGGGGGAATATGGTCTTTATGGGCGTTGGCAAAGGTGACGATTTTCATGACGGTAGTGAGAAGGGTTTGTTCCATGGCACGCCGGACTTTGGCTCGCTCTACGGAGGCGCACATTAGCAAAACCGAACATTGCAGGCCCCGGTCTGACGCAAAGGCATACCGCTTTCAGTTCTGGGCTCGGCAACGGTCACTTTGAGCGTCCAACTCTCCCAGCAGACCTCCTCGTCGCCGCGGGACAGCCAGGCCTTGCGGCGCCGCTTCTCGAAGAACTGGATGGCGACTTGGCCGCGCCCGCCACCGGCGTGGTTGGCGACGCCGGAGGAGCGTTCAGCGTCGAGTTGGCGCTCGAGAGCCGAGGCGCGCTGGTCAATCATGGTTTCGAGCTCGTCGTCGTCGACGTACGGGAGCGTGAGGTCTAGGACGTCGCGGGTGCGGGGCGTGAGGGAGGGGAAGAAGCGTGTGAAGAAGATGGTGTGGAGGATGCCTTTGTAAATATGTTAGTTTTTATATTTTTTTTCTCTTCCCCCCGAGGATCGGATGTTTGAGGAGGATCATGGTGAAGGGGGGAACGGATTATATTGCGTCGTCGCGCGAATTGAAGCGTCGTCGGCAATGTGTGTGCAGTCTGACCTTTGACGACGTCCCGGACGGAGCGGGGATCGGTAAAGACGTCGAGGATGAACTCTGGCGGATCCTTCTGGCGGTCCATTGTAAAAGGACGATGGCGGGTGGCTAGATATCTAGGATCAAGACTGCCCGGGTTCAGGCTGATTCTCAAGAGAGGCGCGAGCTTGCGTCCTGCACAGAGCTCGTCGAGGTGAGGAGGGGAGTAGACGGAGGGAAGATGACGGCCAAGGCGGAGTGGTTTGAGCGATTCTTGATCAGCCGCGACGTCAGAGCTTAGTTTGGCGGGGCGAAGCGGGGCGGGTCGGTTTATCGAGCATGGAGCCATCGAGCAGGAGCAGCGAGGGGCAGTTGACGTTTGGATGCGTGTCTGGCGCTGCTGGGCCACGGCCACGGCACCTGGGACGTCCAATTTAGACACGGAATCTGGCATCTGCACATTTGACGGAGCCCTGCACTCCGTACGCAGGTGCTGGGGGCCTGTCTACTGGCTGCTGGCTGCTTTGGGGCTTTGGTGCATCAAGAGCCGTCAACTGGCGGCGGCTGACCGCGCTGCAGGCCAGAGGCGGCGTCTGGACCAGATGTCTAAATGTCTGTCCATCCAGATGTCATCGACTTGTGTGGCCTGGAGTTCAATGCTGTCTGGTTGGCACATGACGGGAGCCCAACAGACAGTCAACGAGGACAGGGTCACAAGACTGCCCTTGCACCAGCCACACGCTCGCACTCTCGCCACAGGCCCACAGCCCAGCTCTCTGTATTACATTACTCCGTACTTCGTACGTACAGAGCAACAGAAACAGGTGCCAAGTACCTGGGCACTGACCTAGGCAGACAGGTACCCTTTGGCCCGAGCCTCCGTTCCAATAAACCAGTGCTGTGGCGCCTGGGAACCGAGGCCTCGGCTCCCCACTCCCCAGTCTCAACGGCCACCACTCCAATATGGAAAGTTGAATCCAGAGCTGTTGCTGCATCTTGACCATCGATAATCATCGACGGAACCCACGTCTGCTACCAGACGCCTTCCCGTGCAATACAACTCTCCCAACACTGTATCATTTGCTTGTTCATTTTTCTCCTCTTTTTTCTTAACCCCGTCTCTTGCTCGCATTTTTGTTTGCCTGAGCTCAGTATTTCGAAACTGGTATCACGAGGAAAGCTACTCGCGCCTGATTATACACCACGTGTTTCATGGGCACAGCTTGCCCGCCTATTCCATGATCCCAGTCAGCACTTTTCCCTGATCTCCCCTTCCTCGTCAGCCATGTTCTCGTCCGCACGACGCTGGCTGCGCAACAATAGGACGCCTATTGCCATCGGAGTCGGCATCGTTGGCGCCGGATACGTTGCCACCCAATATGTCTTAAACAAGATCAATGATGCGCGTGAGCGCATGAGCAGCGACCGCATCGCCAAGGAAAAGTGAGTGCTTTCATTTTTTTGATGCCCCTTGTCTTCAATGCCAGAAACCCAGGTTGGGAAAGCTTCTCATGTATGCTGACGCTAGTGACATCACAGCCTACGACGGCGGTTCGAGCAGAATCAGGAAGACTGCACGTTCACCGTCCTCGCCCTTCTTCCCACGGCTACTAGCAATGTCATGGCTGCTATGAACACGGAACAAATTACATACGAGATACAGCAAATTAAAGGCTCGACAAAGGGCCTGAAGAGCGGCACCTCCGAATCAACGAGTCCTCCCAGCATTGCCGATACGACCATGACTGAAGAAGATGGCAAGAGCATGGCTACCTCGGCCAGTATACAGAGCGAAAGCGGGATTCATGCAAGCCAGATTGCTTCCTCTACGCCGTTCTCTGCTGTCGTTGGTCAAGACGGCCAGCAGGACGGGGCGTCTGCGCCAAGGGTGTCTCGCAAAACGAAGCGACAGCTCTGGGACGACCTGACCATCAGCGGTAAGTTGCTATCGTGCCTTGCCTAGAACTAATGTTATTGATTACTAACTGGTATTTGTTTCTTGCGGTCCGTGTATAGCGGTTACCAGAGCTTTCACTCTCGTGTACACACTTGCCCTTCTCACCATGTTGACCCGTGTCCAGTTAAATCTCCTTGGTCGCCGAAGTTATCTGTCCAGCGTTGTAGCTCTTGCCACTGGTTCCCAGCAGGCTACCATCAGCCTCGAAAACAACGACGATAATCCAGAGCAGGCCTACGGCAGTGACTTTGATACCAACCGCAAGTACCTCACATTCAGTTGGTGGCTCCTGAACAAGGGTTGGATCCAGGTCATGAACCGTGTTGAAAGTGCAGTACGAACTGTCTTTGGGAGCCTCAGTCCCCGCGACCTGGTCAGCTTTGATCGATTTAGTGATCTCACCATGGAAGTCCGAAAGTTGGTCGAAGGTTCCACCGCAGATGAGCGAAGACAAACAGATTGGCTAGCCTTCTTGCTCCCTCCCCGTAATCAGGAGGAAGAAGTCATCCGCCAATCCGGCATCCTGGAAGACAACTCCATGCAAGGCGGCGCTGCCGCCGAGCAATCACCCGCGGCCCTTCGAAGACTGCTAGATGAGACTGCCGACTTGATCGAGTCACCTTCTTTCTCACACGTCCTCACTCTAATCTTGGACGCTGCCTTCGAGGCGCTGGTTGACAAGAAGCTGGCCACCGAAGCTTTCGAACTTCCTCCCCAGTCACCATTTCCGCCTCCCGAATCAATGGAGCTCCGTCACTCCAAACTCATCCTCCTCCCCAAGATCTTATCCGTCTTGACCCGCCAAGCCCACGTCATTGGCAACGGTGTACCCAATGAATATCTCCAAGAAATGGAGGCGGTACGCGCATTAGAGGCTTTCGCCGCCGTGGTCTACTCGAGTAATTGGGAAAACGAGATCCGTGATGAAAGCATCATGGACAGCGCGGTGAACATTAGCAAGAGTGAGGTGGAATCACAACTGCTCCAACCCCTAGAGAGGAGTCGGCAGACTGGCGTGGGAGAGAGCATCGTCATGGTTGATTCACCAGGCGGACTCGAAGATGCATGGGAGGAGGCGGTGCAGCAGAAATCATGACGATGAGGTCGCGGTATATCTTGTCTTTGTCCATACATTTGAACGAAATATTGAACGAAATAAATTACACCCCTTCGGTTGGGTTTGCGGTTTAGGTATGAAGGCGTCATGTACACTGGTTTTGGAGTAGGTTTATTAGTTTATGTGGCATGAGTTGTGGCTACCTGTAGAAAATACAGCATGGTTGGACTTCCATTCATGGCTCCGGCATGGAACATGTCGTTTTGTAGATGAGAAAAACATGACATGAAGTCGTGGCATCTATCATCCCTGACGCAGGTACATCGTCCTTGGAGTTGAACATGGTCGTTCAAGCTCTGGGTCTCCTTTTTCTCTCTGGGCCGACGTCCAGCACAACATGTAGCGTGCCTGCCATTAGCGGCACCTGCCCTCAATTGGGACCGCCAGCCGAGATGCCTTTCTCTAACGCAAGATACGGCCGGTCCATTCGTCCGTGGCTGACATGGGCAAAGAGAAGGTCGTCAAAACTGTGACAATCCTGACTGGTGCCGGACTCAGTCGTCTTCATATGTTATTGAAACACACCCTGGCCACGTCCTCACATCAAACCACGAATAAACTGGTCCAAGCCCAGCTCAAACAGTTCATTCTTGACCCCCTCTCCGCCTTTGTGTTCAACAGGGGCAAGAGGATTCTTGACAACTATAGAGGCGCACTCTGTAAGAAAAAGAAAATAAAGAAGGGGGGGGGGCCATGAAAGATGTAAAGCATGCCGCAGAATACGCACCATATTCAACCCAGAGATTGATATATATCTGATGCAACACGTTCCGCATACTCGGCGACCCCGTATCCGTCAACATGACGAACCGCAAATTCGCAGGTGTCTCGTAGTAGTGCAGCTTATACTGGCCGGTGCGATAGCTGATAAAGGCGTCGTCGTCACCGCCCAGCTTGCGGACCATGTTGCGCAGGGAGAAGACGGTTCCAAAGATGAGCTTAGCGTCGTCGGAAGCACTGGTGGCGATGCGCGAGGAGGGTCGTTGGGCAGGGAGCCATGACTTGCTGTAGATGCACTCGGCTGATGGATCTAGTTAGCTACGCTCGGACTTGCTTTCGTTACCCGGGGGAGGGGAAGGGGTTGGAGGGCGTACTGTGCCGGTCGAATATGTAGAAAGAGAAGACGGGCATGGTCGTGATGGTTGGCGAGAGGGGGAAGGTGTACGGGAAACAGAAGGGAGGGCCGCCGTGAGATGAGCGTTTCTGCCGACGCTGGTTGCAATGGACTGAAGGGGACTATGGGAGAGTCGATTAATGGCCTCGTGGGCGATTTCTCGGTGCGGTGAATGGTTGAATTGGCGGACGAGGGTGTTGCCGTTGTGCAAACATTTGAAGACCCCCTACTCCGAACACGGCGAGCAATGGATGCGTCGTCGGCGCGCCTAACGGCAAGAGCTACAGCAGAGCACCTGCAAAGGGGGGAGCACCCCGAATACCCCGCCCCACGGGTCGCAACTGAACCTGGGCCAGGACAGAGGCGTCTGTTTGTTGCCGCTTACACTAGAGCAGCTTCTTTCGAATGCTGTTTATTTTCGAGTTTCTTTGTCTCCAGCCCAGTGCCGCTGACGCCAGATACGAGGCTGTAGTGCCGTTTATATTTGCCAATTTCCACCTGGGCCTTCGCTGCAACACACCACAAATCCAGTTCTGGTAATTGGGCGTGAATGAGTGGGCATCGACGCCCATTTCCTCGCGGCAGCCTCGCATAAACAGCTCCCAGGCTCGCGGCTCTGCAGCCTGCTGATGAGTTATTACCTTTCGTGTGGCTCGATTCACTTGGACGCTTGGCCAACTCTCCACCAGGAAGCGGCCCTGCTTCCCGCAACGGTCTGAAAACACCAGGACAACGAAGCTTGCCACTTATCATGGCCACCAATGCTGCTCCCGTCTCTCAGGGGCAACAGGTTACCGGCCTGTGTTCGCCTCGGTTGACTGTTGATCGGGTTGATGACAACGAAGACAACATGAACAGATCACGCCCGGGTCTGCCAAGTAGCTTGTAAGTCACTGGACGACTGACCTCTACGGAGCCTTTCTCCATATTGATTCTATCTTTGCTGACGATTGGATCATCAGTTCTGAACCGCCTACTTTACGCGGCTATTCTAGTCCTATGAGACAGCATAAACGAACCCCTAGCGCGCATAGGGAGATAAAGGTCAGTTCTCTCAGGTCTAGCATGTTACCTCAGCAGTCTGCTCGTCTCGCTGGCCTGTGTGTCTGTGATGAAGCCACTGCCTAACCCGTGCCACTCAAATAGGAAACTCTGGATGCTCGTGTTGAGTTCACCAGTGATGAGGTTGACGGAAGGACATATCACCGCATCAACCAATATGTTATCGTGGAGGAAATTGGAAGGGGCTCGTACGGCGCTGTCCACCGTGCTACCGATCAGTTTGGCACCGAGTTTGTAAGTTTTTTTTTGGGCATCCTCCATCCATTTCCACCTTGCGGCACAATGATGCAATTCTAATCTATCCGCTCTCAAGGCTGTCAAGGAATTCTCGAAAAGTCGACTGAGGAAACGAGCACAGTCTCATATCCTTCGTCTTGGACCGCAGAGCTCGCCTGATCAAAGTCTTCCACGTCCTCGTAGAGCTTGTGGGCCATTATCACCACAACTGACGGGATTGCGGGCCGGCGAGGAGAATGATGCTTTGTTTCTGATTCGAGAGGAAATTGCCATCATGAAAAAGCTCAACCATCCGAACCTGGTTCAATTGATTGAGGTCTTGGACGATCCTGAAGAAGACTCCTTGTACATGGTAATGGAAATGTGCAAGAAGGGCGTCATTATGACAGTAGGCTTGGACGAGAACGCTGTCCCATACAACGATGAGTCTTGCCGCCACTGGTTCCGGGATCTGCTCTTGGGCATCGAATACTGTAAGTTTTCTTCCCTTTACTTCATGAATGTTGCTTTAATTACATTGTTCCACTACGTTGCATTCCAAACCTGAGGGGGCTAACATTGTTGGTTGGTAGTGCATGCTCAAGGGGTCGTTCATCGAGACATCAAGCCCGATAATTTGTTGCTCTCGGATGATGAAGTTCTAAAGATTGTGGATTTTGGTGTTTCGGAAATGTTTGACAAGCCCGAAAACATGAGAATATCCAAATCCGCAGGGTCACCCGCATTTATGCCACCAGAGCTATGTGGCAGACACCATGAAGTCTCTGGTAAAGCGGCTGATATTTGGTCTATGGGTGTTACTCTCTATTGCCTTAAATATGGCAGGATACCGTTCAACCGCCCAACAGTCCTAGAAATCTACGAGGCTATAAAGTCAGACGATCCCAGTATTCCTGATGGCGAGGATCCCGCATTTGTGGACCTGATGACGGTTATCCTGGAGAAGGACCCCGAAAAACGGATTACAATGTCCGAATTGAGAGTAAGAACTGGACGCGAAATATGACAGGTTCCGCGCTAACATGATTATCCTTCATAGGAGCACCCATGGGTGACAAAAGGAGGATGTGATCCTCTTCTGTCTGCCGAAGATAACTGCGAGCACATTATTGAGCCTCCCAATGAGCTTGAGTTGAACCGAGCCTTCACCAGGAAAATGAACCATCTTCTCTCCATGATGAAGGCAATCCACAAATTTAGGACTCTACTGGCGAGAATTCGGGCCAGGAACAACACTGGCCTGGCTGGCTCCTCCACGTTACTTCAGCGTGTTATGTCAGAAGACGAGTCATTCAATGCCGCCAATGAGAGAGCCAAAGCAGAAGAAATAGAGGCTCTTTTAGCCCATCGTCGGCACTTACTCAGCCAGCCGGATGAAGATGCAGATAAAGGTCACGCTCGAGAGATCGGCGACCAAGAGCCTCTCCTTCTTGGCATCGGCACTGGCGCACGAGATGCTTTCGCCTGGGACGAGGCTACTCCAGATGTAGTGGCCGACTCTCCGACCGCGGTTGATTTCGATATATACGACCGTGCCTACGAAGAGGCCATTAAACGGGGAATGGAGGCCAGGCCGTCCAAAAAACCTACCATGTACTTGACCAAGTTCGTCAAAGAAACGGACTACTTCAAAAGAATGGAAAACCTGGTAGAAGGCACTGTGCCATCACTGCCCAGTCCAAAGACAGAGTTAAAGCAAGCTACCCATATATTAAGGGATAACTTGCCTTCGGAGCCGAGGGCCAAATTGGCCGAAATTATCGACAAAGTTGCGTTGTCCATCCCTGAGACACATAAAGATATGAAGCAACCTGAGCTAGGGCTCCAAACGTAAAAGGGCATGGCCTAGTTCACTTGGGCTTGTATACTGCGTGTCGTCTTAGCAGTCTCGCCTGTTATTTTGCGACGTGCTCGGATATATTCCGAAAAAATCTGAGCAATGCCGGTCTCGGCACAAACGAACATGCATATGAGACAAGATCACAATTTCGATTTCCCCATTCGATTTCCCAAGAACCACAACGCCTGTCTTAGTCCTGAGGGTCTGGACCGGAGGTGCGACACTAGAACACCTTTCAAAGAAACAACCCGGAATCTCGGCAGCATTCTACCAAGACACTGCAGTGTTGCAATGTGCGATCGCGGCGAACAGTTTTGATAGGACATGGCGTCTCCCGATATTAGTAGATAACAAAGCGATGCTACTTGCCCAACAGAATTGTTCACCGCTTCGGGTAGCTGGATTGCAGAGCAGGCGGCACTAACGTCGCGGTAATGGCTAGCGAAATAAGCTCTTTCTGGATGTGTCGCCAAATAAAAGAATGCAGGCTTGGCGATATCGTAACACTGAGCAGTACATGGTCCTACGCAGAAGCGGGCATAATCTCACCAGTTTTTACTTCTCGTGACAATTGCCAAAGGGTGAATGTAGGTATCGCCAAAGCATCATCTCCCCAGTAAAAATAGAGCGCATCATTTTTCTGAAAATTCTCCTACGTTCCCCGCGATGCAAAAGCCACCTTGGCTCATGCTCATAACAGGTCGCGTTTGCTATCAGGATGTGGTTTATGCGTTTGTCACAGACCAAGGCAGCCGGAGTAGTCTAGTCTTTCACACCGAAAAACCTCGATACCCTGCAAAACTGACGGAGAAATTTGGACCATTGAGATGCGAGAAATATAGCACGAGGGTCCTAGGGTGCGCCATGTTATTTATGTCGGGTGTTGGAGATGGGACCGTGGCTGTGAGGCTCTTTCAAGAAACAGCCGCGTGAGGTTTTTTTTTTTTGTTTTCTTTGTTCCCCTTCATTGAAGGAAGGGACAAGAAGATAACAGGGCTTTTAGATAAGGTTAGTCAGAGAGCATAGAAATATCCAATAAGGTGGCAGAAGTTTGCATTCTCAGGTTTTTCCATTGAATTGGTGATGCTCAAGTGCGGCTCGAGATTGTCGTCTCTGGAAATTCTTGCAGTCCTTGCGTCACCGTGAATCCTAGATAGGAGTGCAGCAGTGCACGTACAGTATCTTGAGCGACGACAGACGCCGACAAGTGGAATCGGACCACAACCCCGGGTTATACGACGATAACGTGGTCTTTCCAATGGATCCCCCAGCAGGTACGGAGTACTTGAGTAGCTGGATGTAGGTGCCTCGGTGCGAGTTACCGTGGCTGACCAGCACTGCATCAATGGACTCTGTCTGGACGGATTACACGCCACGAAGGCCTTCTCTGTTTCAGTACATGATTGCGGCAAGTTCAACATGCTTCACATGTTATTTACTCGCCATGACTGGTTCAGATAGGATTCAAAATAGGGTTGGGTGCCGATGGCTTAACCGAATAGTTTATTCCGCTGTTGCTGGTTTTGGGCGCAAAATCCATGTATTGGCACAAAACCTGCCATTGACTAAAGGAAGTGATTTGCAATGCTGATTGAGTAGCAAGCAATTGCCAACGCATTTCCGGAGACCAAATACACCAATAAAATCAATCCAATTGACATGTCGTCCGGTTTCGCCCAGTCGCCATCACTAAGATGGTCTCTTGCAGCAAGCTGAAAACTGTGCCTGACATGTCGTCGGTATACATGTCATGTCGCACAGTAGCTTTAAAAAAGAAATTAGACCGTGACGCGCCGTTGGTGGTGAAGAAAAAGGAACAGGGCAGATACGGGGACGCCTTGCTGCAGTCGACCCATCAGGTCAGCTCGGTAGCATGTA